CACACACACACACACACACACACACACACACACACACACTCTTCCAACACCACAAACTTATGCGATCCCTGCACTCTTCTAATTCTGGCCTCTTGAGCATCTAGGAATTTACTTGCTCCATCATTGGTGGTCGTGCCTTTCGCTGGACCCCCAAAGTCTAGAATTCCATCCCTAAAGCTCTCCTCCTCTCTACCTCCCTTTCCTCCTTTAAAACGCTGCTTAAAACCAACCTTTTTGGTCACCTGCTCTAATATCCCTTCACGACACTTGGTTTGATCATTCCCACCAGTTTTCTGTACCCAAGAGCAGACTTCCCATTTCCCTTCCCCACTTTTGTTGTTTTATAACGTCCCAGTGAAGCACCTCAGGATATTTTGTTTTGTTAAAGGTTCTACATAAATATATATTTTTGGTGTTGTATTCCTGATAAAGTCTCAAGCCTCCACAATTTACTTACTGCTGTTCTTCTAATTGTGACGACAGCTTCCACATCAGTGATGAAATCCAAGCCAAATAAATCTAGATCAAAAATCTACGAAGAGCCTCAAGACCATTTGCAAACATATAGAAAACTTACCTAGCTGTTATTTTAGAATATATCCCTGGTCTATAAGCTATCTTCTTCTTTGACACAACAAAATTCATATTAATAGCGAACCTGTAAGGAAAATGCTGAACCTTCCATCATATAGAAATTTATACTGAGTTCAATTAACAAGTTTATTCCAATCTATTAAGGCCTCCTGTTGACCGCTGGCAGACATCTGCAACCTAACTGCATCGTTCACTTCACTCCTCTTTGCAATAACTTTTAGAACTTGCAAAGCTTCAGATGTAAGGCAGTCCAGGAAAGAACAGAGTAAGTGCTCATCAAGGTGAAGGATGCTTATGCAAGCAAATGGAATACTTCCCCATTCCAAGTGCTCAACATCGGAATTGCCAGTAAAATACTGCTCCACATCTCCTGCTGCATCATTTATGACATTTTCCAAACTTAAAAATCACACATAACTTCACAATCTTGTACCTTGGGCCCATATTCAGTTAAAAACCAGACTGAGACATTCACTTAAAGAGCAATTCTACTCCGAGCATAAGTTAATTTAAAAGAGAGAGTACTGTATGCTTTCACAATGGATATCACATTGCTACCGTCTCACCTTATTGAGGTCCCAGTCTAAGGATACAGGGTAGGTCATTTAGGCCTGAGGTGAGGAGAAATGTCTTCACCCAGAGAGTGGAGAGCCTGTGGAATTCTCTGTCACAGAAAGTGGTTGAGGCCAAAACTTTGTTTGAGTTCAAGAAGGAGTTATAATTCCTAGGGCTAAAGGGATCGAAAGATATGAGGAGAAAGCAGTACTAAGTTGGGTGATCAGCCATGATCATATCGGAGCAAGCTTGAAGGGCTGAATGGCCTACCCTTGCTCCTATTTTCTATGTTTCTATGAGTATTGTGAATTGTAGAAATTTCTCGGGAAAATCAGGGAACAGAGCATTTCCTGATGGCAACAGTAGTGAAGGTTATTCTTAGTTTCATCTCTATCAGTGTAGTATGCAGAAGAAAAAATGAATTCAACTCTGCAGCAAGTCTCCTGAGCTCTAATACTGGCTCACTAAACTTAATGTTCAACAGCATGGGCAAATAGAAATTAAGATTATATTCACGCTGGCTGTAGCCACTCATTCATTCTTTGTATCTCTGGGTCTGGATCCCACAATCAGTGCAATGACTTCACTCCCTTGGTGTTCCTTCCCTTCTATCAATCTACAAACTCTCAATAAATAAATTTACCACCAATCAAGCACCATTTCCTGCTTTACTCTCAGCCCTTTTCAGTCTTGGCAGTACCAAAATCCTTGGGCCTTCACCCACAGTGAGTAGAATTCATGCCACTAGAGTGGACCTTCAGTATAAAACTGCAGGTGGAATTCAACTTGAAATTTCACTTGAATGACACCAGTATATTTCAGGCAAATGAGAACAAGAAAGTGCTGCATGGCACTAGCGAGTGTACATAAATCTCCCCTTATGATATATACGATGATCTGTCATTTCAGATGAATGTGGTTCATTAAACTGCATGGAAGAAAACACAGATTCTTAATGAAGTGTATTTTTTGATGGTACCTGATTTATGACTAGAGTAACATGGGAGCCCTGACTTGCTGGAGCATGATATACCCTCCCCCAATAAAAAGTTACAAGTATACCTGCTACTGGGTAAATAAGGCATGACAAATCCAGAAAATACAGGCATCTTCCCAGCCTCCGCACGTCAGCAAACAATATTCCATTCCTGCAAGCTCCATCTTGGGCTTCTCACAACTATGGTTAATTTATGAACCTGGCCTTGTATTAAGAGCCTGTTGTCACTGGGAACCAAGCTGACAAATTGACAAGTCAGGAGCCATTTGTGCTGCAGGCCCATGCTCACTTAGAACTGGGTTGAGACTGTCGGAATTCATTTACATCCGTACTCTTGCAGCCAGCAGAGACTTTCACCCCATTAGCCTGGAGTAGATTTGAACCCATGACTGCAGAATCTCTTGATGCCTCAAACAATTCTTGGTGGAAAATAAAGTTTTCCAACTGAGATTTGGTCCTGCTCTACTCAATCCACTGAAAACAAGATTGAAAATATTCCTTACCCAGTATTAATACCATTCCTTGCATCTTCATTTTCTTTTCGCACTTACAATGCCACAGTATTAAAGTGAACAGACAATTTCACAAAAGCCTAGCTCCAATTTTATATCAACTAAATCTCAAATCTTCAGTCCTGTTCCCACACCTGGTTTTCTCTCAAGTGCTAGCCACTGGCACAACACATGAACATCCTGACAGGAAAAATTTCAAATCAAAAAGAAAATGTGTTCAGTTGATGCTTTTTTAATTTGTAAAAAATCGAGCCATGTTTTTATCCAATCAATGTAATAGCACCTGATGTAGGGAACATCACCAGAAAACAAGGTTGCCTGGGCAGCAAGGTCTGATGAACCTGACGTTATATGAAGAAGAAAACATTTCGTAAAAGAGCTGGCAATCTGTCAACTATAATTTTCAACTCCTTTCAACTTAATAGGACAAACGCTGTGGTTGTCTAATAAGTCAAAAATGAATGGGGTTTTTGCATAGTAGCAGAGAATGTGCCATTCTAAAGACACCAAGCTGGGATGGAGGAGTTGGATTTTGGGG